TTGTGTATTTAAGAGTATAAGATAGAAACAATCCAACTCAGTCACTTGTTGTTAGGTGCCGTCGAGTCAGTTCAGACTCATAGTGACACTATGCAAAACAGGACGGAACACTGTCCAGGCCTGCACCAACATCACAATGATTGTTAAGCTTGAGCCCATTCATGCTTTCACTGTGCCAGTCCATCTTGTTAGTGGTCTTCCTCTTTTTCTCTAACCCTCCACCTTACCACGCATGATATCCTTCTCCAGGCACTGGTCCCTCCTGATAATATGTCCGAAGTATAAGAGATGAAGTCTTACCATCCTGGCTGTACTTCCAACATAGATTTGTTTGTTTTTTTGACAGTCCACGTTGACTGTTAATATTCTCCTCCAACACCATAACTCAAAGGCATCAATTCCTCTACTGTCTTCCTTATTTATTGTCCAACTTTCACATATGCATGGCTTGGATCAGGCATAGCTTAGTCCTCAAGCTGATATCTTTTCTCTTGAACACTTTAAAGAGGTCTTGTGCAGCAGCTTTTCCTAGTGCGGTATATCATTGGATTTCTTGACCTCTGCTTCTTTGAATGTTCATATTAGATCCCAGCAAAATGAAGTTTCTGACAACTTCGTTCTTTTCTCCATTTATCATAATGTTATTTATTGGTCCCATGATGAAGATTTTTGTTTCCTTTGAGGTGCAACCCATACTGAAGGCTGTCGTCTTTGATCTTCATCGGTAAGTATTTTAAGCCCTCTTCAGTTTCAGCAAGCAAGGTTGTATCCTCTGCATATCACAGTTGTTAATGAGTCTTCCTCCAATCTTGATGCCACATTCTTCTTCATATAATCCAGCTTCTTGGATTATTTTCTCAGCATACAGATTAGATGGTGGTGGTGTGACTTATAGCAACCCCATATAGGGTTTTTGAGGTTGTAAATCGTAACGGCAGTAGAAAGTCTCATCTTTTTCTCATGGAGCGGTCAGTAGATTTGAACTGCTGACCCTATGGTTAGCAGCCCAGCTTGTAACCCACCATGCTCCCAAAGTAAGGCAAAAATATATAACCCTGGTGCATACCTTTCCTGATTTTAAACCATTAAGTATCCCCTTCTGCTGTTTGAACGATTGCTTCTTGGTCTATGGACAGATTCCTCATGAGCACAATTAAGTATTCCTTAATACCCACTCTTCACAATGTTGCCCATAGTTTGTCATGATCTACACAGTTGAAAGCCTTTGCAGTCAATGAGGCATAAGTAACCATCTTTCTGGTATTCTCTGCTATTAGCCAGGATCCATCTGATGTCAGCAATGATAGCCCTTCTTCAGCATTCTCATCTGAATCTGCCTTGAATCTCTGGGAGTTCTCTGCCATTGTATTGATGCAGCCATTTTTAAATTATCTTTAGCCAAGTTTTGCTTATACATGACGTTAATGATATTATCCAATGATTTCTGCATTCCGTTGGGATGCCTCCATTTGAAATGGGCACAGATAGGAATCTCTTACAATCCGTTGGGCAGATTATCGAAATTTTGTGGCATGGCTGAGTAAGTGCCTCCGGTGCTGCATCAGTGTCTTGAACATTTCTATTTGTAGTCCATCAGTTCCCGGCTCCTGGTTCTTTGCCTTCAGTGCACCTAGGACTTCTTCCTTCACTACAGTTGGGTCTTGATCACATGTTACTTCTTGAAAGGACTGAACAGCATCAATTTAGACTTCCTGTGTCCACAATCTTCTACACAGTCCTAGTCCTTGAGAGATGATCTGTTTGCATGGAGTTTGTGGGTTCCTTTAGGAAACAGACGGGAGCAGCAAGTCATTTAAAAACAACAACAAAGCACACTCACACACTGCGATTGAGTCGATTCGGACTCCTAGTCACCGTGTAGAACGGAGTAGAACTGCTCCTTACGGGTTCTGAGATGATAAATCTTTACAGAAGTAGACAGCCTCGTCTTCCTCCGAACTGCCTACCTATCAGTCAGCGACTCAGCGCTTAACCCACAGTGTCACTAGGACTTCTTAACACCATGGATCCATCTAGTTAATTATTTTTTTTAACCAAGCATTGTGAAGACATGCAAGGACCTTTTGTGCAATGCATCTGGAAGTTGAAGGAGTTTGAGTGGGCGGTTGGACAAGAAGGTTTGATACGTTTGAAGGTGCTGGCCCGAGGTGACGAGCTCAGTTATGTGGGGACAGGGCATGTAAGATGCCCTATTTCCTATGGATGTTCCAGCTCTTCAGTCAACACACTTACCAACTGCTTTTGGCTTTTAGTTCTCATGTCTCCTACCCCTTTGGCCTGCATCTGAGTCTCTCCCCTCACCCTCACTAACTGCTCCATCCACATTGCCTTGGCTGCTTTAAATTAAACACAAAGAATGTTCTGGTCATGCATGGAATTTAAGGGTTCCTATTTCCTAAGCTCTCTAGCCTCAGTGTGTTTTTATAATCTCAATGCAATCAAAACCCAGTTACCTTTTACCTCTAGCCAGCGCTTGTATTGTCATTCACAATGCCAAAGATCAGCAGTTCAAACCCACCAACTGTTCCACAGAAGAAAGATGAGGCTTTCTGCTCTCGTAAGGATTTACAGCTCAGAAACCCTGTGCAGGTTCGCTGTGACTTCATGGCACCCAACAACAACACTGCATAGAGTTTCTAAGTAGCGGCTGGTAAGTTTGAACTTTGTGGTCAAGTGCTTATCCTACAGCACCATACCATGACTCCAATAAGCTATGATTTGTTGTTGTTAAAAGCTTTGGAAACCCTATAAAGGGTCATTATGAGTTGGAATTTTTAGTTTGTTTTGTTTTGGGGGGGGTGGCGGGTTAGAAGTATAGGTCTAAACTACCTTTGTTGTTGTTAAGTGCCGTCGAGTTGGTTCCGATGCATAGAGACCCTGAACAGGGTTTATGAGGCTGTAAATCTTTACGGGAGCAGAAAGCCTCATCTTTCTCCCGCAGAGCAGCTGGTAGTTTCGAGCTGCTGACCTTGCGGTTCGCAGCCTGATTTGGAACCACTACACTACCAGAGCTCCTTCTAAACTACTTGGAGATACTATATTTATATTTCTTAAAGTAAATATGGAATGCTGGCGTGGCACTGTGGTTTAATGTGCCAGACAGCAAAGCCGTTTGAACTGCAAGGTCGTCAGTTCAAGCTCACCAGCTGCTCCTTGGAAACCCTATACAGGGTCGCAACTGACACGACGGCACTACACAACAACAACAACACACCTGGTAGGCATGAGTGTCCCACGTGTGTTTGTTTTGTTTTTAAAAGAAGATAGCCTTGACTCCTGGGGAGAAATTTTTTCTTTCTTTTGTTGGTACCTAAGAGTAGGGAAAAAAAGGTAAGGTAAAGGTCACCGACTTCGTTTTGCTCAGATCCACCACCAACACTCACGGAAGCAGCAGTCAA